GTCTCCCTCTCTCTCTGCCCCTCCCTCACTCACATTCTGTCTTTCTTCCAAAATAAATAAACATTAACAAATATTTTTTTTTAATTTTTTTTTCAACGTTTATTTATTTTTGGGACAGAGAGAGACAGAGCATGAACGGGGGAGGAGCAGAGAGAGAGGGAGACACAGAATCGGAAACAGGCTCCAGGCTCTGAGCCATCAGCCCAGAGCCTGATGTGGGGCTCGAACTCACGGACCGTGAGATCATGACGTGGCTGAAGTCGGACGCTTAACCGACTGCGCCACCCAGGCGCCCCAACAAATATTTTTAAATAAATATTTGGTAGGGTCACCTGGGTGGCTCAGTTGGTTAAGCATCTTAATCTTGATTTTGATTCATGTCTTGATGTCATGATTCTGAGATCAAGCCCTCCATGGGGCTCCCCACTGGGTGTGGAGCCTGCTTGGGATTCTCACTCTCCCTCTCCCTCTGCACCACTCATGCTGAATGAATGAATGAATGAATGAATGAATGAATAAATAAATAAATAAATAAATAAATAAATAAATATTTGGTAGAATTTACCTGTGAAGCCATCTGGCCCTGGACTTTTTGTGTTGGGAGTTTACAGATTGGATTGTTTACTGATTCAATTTCTTATTAGTTTGTTCAAGTTTTCTGTTTCCTTCTGTTTCAGTTTTGGTAATTTATATGTTTGTAGAAATTTATCAATTTCCTCCAGGTTGTCAAATTTGTTGGCATATCATTTTTCATAATATTCTCTTATGATTTTTTGTATTTCTGTGCTTTTGGTTGTTATTTCTTCTCTTCCATTTGTGGTTTTATATTATTTGGATCCTTTCTCTTCTCTTTGATAAGTCTGGTAGAGGTCTATCAATTTTATTGATGTTTAAAAAGAACCTGCTCCACTTCATTTATATGTTCTATTTTTTCTTTTTTTTTAGTTTCTGTATCATTTGTTTATACTCTAATCTATATTATTTCCCTCCTTCTTCTGAATTAGGCTTCCTTTGTTCTTTTTCTAGCTCCCTAGGTGTAATGTCAGGTTGTTTATTTAACATTTTTGTTGCTTCCTGCGGTAAGCCTGTATATACTTTCCTCTTAGGACTGCTTTTGCTGCATCCCAATGGTGTTGGACCATCGTGTTTCATTTATATTATTTCCATGTATTTTTAAATTTCTTCTTTGATTTCCCAATCCCATTCTTTGTTTAGTAGCATGTTGTTTAGTCTCTCTTCTTCCTCCTCCTCCTCTTCCTCCTCCTCTTCTCCTTCTTCTTTGACTCCTATAATACCAATGTTATTACATTTGATGGAGTTGTTGAATTCCCTAAGTCTACTCTCATGTTCCATAATTCTTCTTTCTCTCTGTTGTTCAGTTTCATTATTTTTTATTATTTTGTCTTCTATATCACAAATTCATTCCTCTGCTTCTTCCAGCCTGCTGTTCATTGCATTAAGCCTGCTTCCAATCTCATTTATTGCATTCTTCACCTCTAATTGATTCTTTTTAACTCTTTTACCTCTGAGGGAAGAGTCTCCCTGATGTCTTCTATTGCTTTCTCAAGCCCAGTGAGTATCTTTACAATTGTTGCCTTAAATTCTCCATCACCATATTACTTATATCTGCTTTACTGAGATCCCTGGCTGTAGCCATATCTTATTCTTTCATTTGGAATAAATTCCTCCATTTTGGCATTTTGTCTAAGTCTCTCTGAGTTCTTCTGTGTGTTAGAAAAACCAGCAATTTCTCCTGATTCTGAAAGTAATGGCCTTATGAAGAAGAGATCATGTAGTGCCTAGGGCCTGGAATTTCAGGGTATGACTCTGGTGTGTGCTGAGTGTGCTCTGCTGTCGTGTTGTGGTTGCTTTATTCTTATGACCAGTCATCTGCAGGTGCTCTCCTTGCCTGAAGTGAGCAGTGTTTGATCTCTTGCTGAAATGTGGTGAGTTTTAACTAGGTGTGCTCTGGTCCACTTGTGAAATGAGACCCCACACCAACTCTACCAAAACTGAGACCCTGCAGGACTCTCTGGTTGGGAGACGTGGTGTGCGAGGGGGTTTGTGCTGGTCTTTTGTGGGAGAGAACTGTCACCCTGGGATGAGGCAAGCTTGACTGAGAAAGGCAGACCCGTGAGAGGATAGGAGGGAGGAGCTTGGTGTTAGGCAGGTTAGGCAGCTACTGTCTGTGCTGAGCTGCTTTCTGCAGGTAGGTCTGTGTTTATGCATGGGGGATGGAAATGGTGTCTGCCAAGCCTGCTGATCTTTAAAACTCCAAGTTTTAAGTGCTGCTAGTTGCAAGAATTCACAAAAATCAGCCCCTCTCATTTTGCAAGCCAATGGCTTTGGGGAAATGTTCTCCTTGTACATTCCCCTGTGTGTTCCTCCCTCTCTTGCCTTTGTCCATGACCAAGGCTCCCTCTCTTCTGCTGCACCCACTATTCATTTTTCCCCCAAACCATGTCTCTGCACTTCCTACCTTCCTTGATGTGGCCTCTTCTCTCCCCTAGTTGTGGAGTTTGTTCTGCTAGTCTTCGGGTAGATTTCTGGGGTATTTAGGATGATTGAATACTTATTTAGTTGTGTTTGTGGGATGAAAGAAGCCTAGAGTCCTCCTACTCTGCCATCATCTTCCTCTCTCTGACCCCTGAAGGATATTGTTGAGAACTTACCCTATAAAACTGTTACCTATTATAGCAATGATTTCTAAATGTGGCTGCATAAGAAAATCATCTGGAGAAGTGTTGGAGGGAATGAAGAGAAATTGGAACTCATACACTGTTAAGGGAATATAAAATAGTTCAGCCACTTTGGAAAGATGTCGGAAGCATTTGATAAAGTTAAACACACGCTTACTATATGACCATGCAAGTGCACTTCCACATGTTTACTCAAGAGAAATAAAAGCATTTGTTCAAACACACTGGTCTAAGTAGCTTACCTGTACTGATTTATATAATTGTCACAACCACTTTATGGGACAGGCACTATGGTCACTGCCGTTTTATAGATGAGAAAATGAAGACACGGACAAGTAACTTGCCTAACATCATACAGCTTCTAAGTGGCAACCTCAGGTGTGTCATGGATGGAAACTTAATCTCAAAGATGCTCATGCATGTTTAGATAATATATATGGTAATCTTAGTGCATCCTTAACTATTGGTATTCTGGGTGATATGAAAATTAAAATAATGATATCATAAAGAGGGATGCCTGGGTGGCTCAGTCGGTTAAACGTCTGACTTTGGCTCAGGTCATGATCTCGTGGTTTGTGAGTTTGAGCCCTGCGTCGGGCTCTGTGCTGACAGCTCGGAGCCTGGAGCCTGCTTCAGATTCTGTGTCTCCTTCTGTCTCTGCCCTTCCCCCACTTGCACTGTCTCTGTCTACCAAAAATAAATAAATGTAAAAAAATTAAAAAACTATACCATAAAGATTTTTTAAAGTTTAGAAAATATTGAAAAATAATTTCAGAAAGAGGGATCTGTGCTTTCTGTCAGTCTTATTCTTCCTAGGAGTCAATGAAGAATTCAGTGAATGGGACACTAATAAAACAGCAGGAATGAAGGCCTGGCCATTAGCTAGAACAGCCTTTTGTTTCTGTTTTGTGTCTTTGTATGTCTGCTATCACTTCTCATTCCTTGATATTTCCTCATCCTCTCTTTAGGGTAAGGCCAAGATGTACCACTTACAAGGCCCCCAAGTGCTGCAGATGCTAAAGAAATCCTTGAGGAAGAGCCTCCCTGAGTCCTTAAAGGTGAGAGTAAAACACATGGGGAGAAAAAAAAAGGACTAGCAATGACCTATGAAAGAGGTAGGAGGGAGAATCAGTATTCTTTGAACACCTACTCTGTGCCAGGCACTCACTCATCTTGCATCTCATTTAGTTTACATCACTTCACTGCAAGGCAAGTCTTTCATATCCATGTAACCAAAGAGGAAATGCAAGCTCAGCTGTAGGACTTGACCAAGGTCACGCCACTAGTGAGTGGCAATCCTGTGATTTAAATCCACTATGATCTTTGCTGTGTGATAAACCAAAAACATCCCTTTGTCCCATTCCATGTGCCATTATATAACATTGGAAGATTTCCCAGAATTGCACAATTGGCTGAACACATTAATGTTTGATTTATTCTTTCTAAATAATCAAGTGCCTGAAAAAGTTAACCAGTATGATTCTCCTTTGAAATTAAGAGGCCAAATTCTATTTTGTCAAACCCCAAATGATTATGTTTAATTTGGGAATGAGACAGAAATTTCATTTTAGAAATAGATCAGTGATCGTGTACATAAAGAGGTAGGGTCTTTTTTTAGGGGGGGCAATAACATGTTGCAAAGGGACTAGAATATTACTGGGGATAAAGGTGCCATTGCACTATGATAAAGGTATCAATTCACCAAGAAGACATGAAAAATGCTGAAATGTATATACCTAACAACAGAGGTTCAAAGAACACGGGACAAAAACTGATAGAACTGAAAGAATAAATAGGTAAACCCATAGGTGTAATTAAAGATTTTGACATTAGGGGCGTCTGGGTGGCTCAGTCGGTTGGGCGTCCGACTTCGGTTCAGGTCATGATCTCGCGGTCTGTGAGTTCGAGCCCCGCATGGGGTTCTGTGCTGACAGATCAGAGCCTGGAGCCTGTTTCAGATTCTGTGTCTCCCTCTCTCTGACCTTCCCCCATTCATGCTCTGTCTCTCTCTGTTTCAAAAATGAATAAACGTTAAAAAAAATAAAAAAAAAAACCAAAAAACAAAACAAAACAAAAAAAAAGATTTTGACATTAAAGATTCTATGAGTAATTTATAGAATAGGCAGAAAGTCTATAACCTATATACAAGATCTGGAAAGTACTATGAACCAATTTAATTGATATTTACAGAGTACATCCCTCAACAATAGAAGAATACACATTCTTTTCAAGTGCACATGGAACATGTACAAAGATAGATCATATTTTTAAGACCTTTGAAAGAATTGAAATAATACCATGTATGTCCTCTTATCTTAAGTTTAATATGGTATTAAATATGCCAGGAGTAGGGAAGTACAGGGTGAGGTGTGGTCCTTTGTCATGGAACTTATCATTTCATTGGTCCTTGGTCTTTAGCATCTTTCCATACAATCTGCTGAAGCATTATGTTTCCAACTGCACTTAGCTCCCAAGGTCCACACTGGTATGCATTGCTGTATTTCCTTCCCTCACAACCACAGGGACCCTTCCAGTTTGGAGGATTTCTCTTTCTCAGACTCTACAATGTCCTTCTTGATAGCACTGGTGTTCGAATAAATGCTTGTGGAAAAGATTAAAAAACAGATTGCTGAATATGTGATATTCACAGACTTTGGTCAGCAAAACTCAGGTTCTTAGCACTGTTCTGTCTTTACTTATTAAATAGGTCAGAACTCACCCTTTCTGGAAAGCAATTTGGAGATATGTGTAAGAACAAAAAAGTCTTTAAACAGCAATTGACCTTTGACCCAGAAATTGCCCTTCTAATATTTCTAATAATAGACATATTTGCAAAGATTTATACAAAAAATTCCTTGAAGAATAAACTGTTAAACTAAAAAATTCAAAAAAGCTGAAATGACCAGCAATAGGAGATAGGAAAATTGAATTGGAGTTCTTTCATATGATGGATATTATGCAGTCATTAAAAATGGTTATGTAGATTTGTGTTTATTGATATGGAAATATACCCATAGTATAGTGTGTGTGGGGGGGGGTACATGTTAAACTAATATATATTAGGTAATTTCATTGCTTAAAAATTGTATGTGTATGGGACTCCTGGGTGGCTCAGTCAGTTGAGCATCCAACTTGGCTCCAGTCATGATCTTGCCGTCTGTGGGTTTGAGCCCCACAGCAGGCTCTGTGCTGACAGCTCGGAGCCTAGAGCCTGCTTCAAATTCTGTGTCTCTGTCTCTCTCTACTCCTCTCCTGTTTGCACTCTGTCTCTCTTGCTCTCAAAAATTAACATTAAAAATTTTATGTGTATTTGTAAATAAATGAAATAAAATGGAAAGCTATAACACTAAGTTCTACAATGTGATAGTCGATGATTTTTTTTTTTTAAATTTTAGGAGAGTGTGAGTCGGGGAGAGGGGCAGAGAGAGGGAGAGGGAGAGGGAGAGGGAGAGGGAGAGGGAGAGGGAGAGAGGGAGAGAGAGAGAGAGAGAGAGAGAGAGAGAGAGAGAGAGAGAGAGAGAAAATTAAGCTGAGCATGGAGCCTGCTGCTGGTATTGATCTCACAACCCTGGGATCATGATTAAGCCCAAATCAAGAGTCAGATGTTCAACTGACTTGAGCCAACCAGACACCCCTGATTTTTAATTAATCAATTTATTTACCTGGATATTTAACTATATTCATAATATTCTCATGGTTTGACTCCCAACCCTATTTCTATTTGGAGTAATGAAGTGGAATCTGAAGGTGGTTTCAACCATATGCCTTATAAGTTATCACCCTGATTTTGCAGAAATAATCCTTGTCCTGATCAAAAAAGGCACTTCACCAGCCCTTCTTAATAAGCTGACCCTCTGAGTTTTTTGGGTTGCTACAGGTTTATACAACTGTCTTCCACATGAACCAGGGAAACCCGTTCAAGTTAAAGGCCATGGTGGACAAATGGCCTGATTTTACAACAGTGGTTATCCGCCCTCAGGAGCAGGTAAGGTGCCAGATGTGGAATGAATAAGCTTTTGTGTTCATATTTGCTACTTGCCTACCATGCACCTGGCAATGTGGCAGACACAGGGGATATAGAAATGAATTGCATAATGGTGAAAAAGTCCTTGTTCTCAAGAAACTCACGGCTTGGAGGAAAAGACAGATAAGCAAATAAATTACAACATGGGGTGAAAATTGTACAAAAACATACAACATACAAGATACACACAGCAGCACTATCCAAGAGATGATTAAATCACCGAAGTCAGGGTGTACAAGGAGAGGATCAGAGCAACTTCCTAGTAGACATTTCACCAAAACTGGATTTTGAAGATCAATAGGTGTTTGACAGGCTGACAAGACTAGAGGGGCATTCTAAGCAGAAAAATGACACCCAAAAATATGTAAAGGTAAATATGAAGAGTTTTAAGGAAATGTAAACAACAAATTGCAATGCCTATATTTGGGAATACATTTTCAGTGCCAACTGATCACTCACACTAAATGGTTAATACATTTCAAATACAAATCTGTTATAAGCATATTGGAAAATATAAAGTAAAAATTTATGCATGCAAAATATGCAACCATATAATGTCATTTTAACATAAATTTTTTCAAATAAAATTTAAATGTATAGGGCTGTTTAAAAATACTGAACTTGGGGCGCCTGGGTGGCGCAGTCGGTTAAGCGTCCGACTTCAACCAGGTCACGATCTCACGCTCCGTGAGTTCGAGCCCCGCGTCGGGCTCTGGGCTGATGGCTCAGAGCCTGGAGCCTGTTTTCGATTCTGTGTCTCCCTCTCTCTCTGCCCCTCGCCCGTTCATGCTCTGTCTCTCTCTGTCCCAAAAATAAATAAACGTTGAAAAAAAAAATTTTAAAAATAAAAATACTGAACTAAACAGAATACAAAAATGAAGACATTTACATTAATTATTGAAATAATAAATGAAATTATTAGTGCATTTCTGTGCAACACCTTCTACCTTATTCTACCCCCTTGTTGGGTGGTTGTTTTCTGATCCCTTCCTTCATCTTCAAATAACCTAATCTTTCATTTGTTAAATTTCAGAGGATCTCTTTGAACAAATTTTGTGTTCAAATTTCATTTTTTTGAGGAATGTAAATTATTTTTTTAAATAATAGTGCATGTGGTTTACATTTTAAAGACATCATGTGTCCAATAAGAGGTTAACATCCAAAATATATGAAGAACTTCTACAACTCAACACTAAAAAAACAAATAACTCAATTAAAAAATTAGCAGAGGATCTGAATAGACATTTATTCAAAGAAGACATATAGATGGCCAATCGACACATGGAAAGATGCTCAATATTACTAATCATCAGGGAAATGCAAATTAGAACCAAAATGAGATGTCACTTTATACTTGTCAGAATGGTTAAAATAAAAGGCACAAGAAGCAAGTGTTGGAGAGGATGTGGAGCAAAAGGAACCTTCATACACTGTTGGTGGGAATGTATATTAGTGCAGTCTCTAAGGAAAACAGTATGGAGGTTCTTCAAAAAATTAAAAATAAAATTAGCATATGATCCAATAATTCTACTATTGGGTATTTACCCAAAGAAAATGAAAACATAAATTTGAAAAGATATATGCATCCCTATGTTTATTGTGGGATTATTTACAATAACCAAGATATGGAAGCAACTCAAGTGTCCATCAATAGATGAATGGATAAAGATGCGGTATATATATGTAATGGAATACTATTCAGCCATCAAAAAGAATGAAATCTTGTCATTTACAACAACATGGATGGGCTTAGAGGGTATAATGATAAATGAAATGAGTCAGAGAAAGACAAATACCATATGATTTCACTCATATGTGTTAAGAAACAAAACAAATGAACAAACAAAGAAAAAAGGGACAAACAAAAAGCAGACTCTTAAATACAGAGGACAACAGGGGCGCCTGGTGGCGCAGTCGGTTAAGCCTCCGACTTTGGCCAGGTCATGATCTTGCGGTCTGTGAGTTCGAGCCCCGCGTCAGGCTCTGGGCTGATGGCTCGGAGCTTGGAGCCTGTTTCCGATTCTGTGTCTCCCTCTCTCTCTGCCCCTCCCCTGTTCATGCTCTGTCTCGCTCTGTCCCAAAAATAAATAAATGTTGAAAAAAAATACAGAGGACAGCAAATGGTATCCAGAGGGAGGTGGGGGAGAGGATAGGTGAAAGAGGTGAAGGGGATTAAGAGTACACTTATCATGATGAGCACTGGGAAATGTATAGAATTGTTGAATCAATATATTGCATACCTGAAACTAATGTAATGTTGTATATTAATTATACTTTGAATTTAAAACATTTTAATGAAAAAATAAAGACACCATGTGTCTTTATTTTGTGTAGCTATATCATATATAAGTGAAAATTGTAATACAAGGTTACTTGTGTCAATTTCAACATTGTTACATTTATAATCCAATTTTTCTGAGATTCTTTTATTTATTTATTTTTTTGAGACTCCTTTAAAGAGAGTAAGATTTACTCTTGCAACAGAACCTTGGCTTTGACAATAATACTTTCTTTCTCCTGAGGATTACAGAATTATAGAAGAATGCTTTCTAAACAGTGCACATTTGATTGATTTGAAATTGCAAAGCAACATATAAATATCTAGTTCAGTATATTTTTCTTAATCATAGGTTGAGTAATTGATTAAATCCTTGACTTGTTTACATGATATAAATGATTCAGGAATAATGATTATATCAAGAAAAACATCACTATTTATAAGTTTATAATTTTTTTTGCACTTATTTATTTTTGAGAGACAGAGAGACAGAGCACAAGTGCAGGAAGGGCAGAGAGAAAAGGAGACACAGAGTCCGAAGCAGGCTCCAGGCTCTGAGTTGTCGGCACAGAGCCTGAGGTGGGGCTTGAACTCACGAACCATGAGATCATGACCTGAGCCAAAGTAGATGCTTAACTGACTGAGCCACTCAGGCACCCCCATAAGTTTATAAAATAGCACAGTATAATGAACTAAAGCCAAGTGTTCCAATCACTGGGTATAGATCAATTTGATTTATTCCACATTATCTAACCAAACAGGAAATGACAGATGATTTCGATCACTACACCAACACCTACCAAATCTATTATAAGAATCCCACAAACTGCCAAGAATTCCTTGGTGCATCAGATGTCATCAATTGGAAACAACATTTGCAGATCCAAAGTAAGTAAGGGATCTAGGAGGTATGCTGACTTCTGTGACTGTTCATGTTTACATCTGCAGGGTCACTTTTCATCCTGAGCACATTCCCTTACAGCCTTTACTTTCTCTTCCAAACCCCAGACACTCAGCTTGATGTTTATTCCTTGCATCAGCTGCTACCACCTCTTTAGTGGAGCAGAATTCAAACACTGCAAACTACGGAGTTGATACAAGGAACTGTGAGCAATGGAACTTATTGTTAGCTGAGCATTCATAATATATTTTGCTGACATATTCAGGATCCCTTACCATGATTAGGTGTGAGAGTAGAACTCCCCATCTGGCCATCCATTACTAGAAGAAGAATGACAGTTCCTTGTGCCACAGAGGACCTTCAGATCACACAGATAACTACCATGGTTATGAGTGTGC